GGATGTTCCCATTCTGGACATCTGTAGGGTCCTCAGTAAATACATTTACTTTGCACTATGTGGTCACAACCACCTCTAGATCGGATGTGAACTTTGGCAAAGTCATATTTCAATCATTATTCAAGTAGGCTCTGAACCTACCTCCAAACAGTACTGCTTGGGAGTCACCTGAGTGGAATACATGCCTGCAACAACGCGAACAAGAAAAAACAGTTACTTACCTGTTCTGTAACTGTTTTTCTTCCAGTTGTGGGTGCAGATATGTATTCCATGACCTGCCCTCCATCCCCTCTATATTGGAGTCAAACCACCTGCTCTGTTGTGAAGGAACTGAGGGGGGCTAGGGCAGTGGCAGCCCTTATATTGACTCGGGAGGGGCCAGGAGGATGTGTAGGGTGCGTGCACTACCCCAACAGGTACTGCTGTGGGGAAAAAGTCTGTGACTCTGGTGCACTCGAAGACACCTAAGTGGAATACACATCTGCGTACACAGCTCAAAGAACAGCAGCTACAGAACAGGTAAGTAACCATTTTGGGGTTTTGTTTTGGGTGATTTTTTGTGTGCGCGCAAGATTTCTTGTTTATTAGGTCTCAATGATTTTAAGAACAAATCTGCTCCATTTACAAGACTTTTTCCTGAGTTCCATCTCTGCAAACTCAACATAGAATGTGAGAGTGCAACTGGATTCTTTCTAGCACTGATTTCATAAGAAGTAAAGATTAAACATATGGAACTTAAACTACTGTTTTACTCCAGCTAGCCCTGCAGAGCCAACACAAATTTCAGTGAGTGAATTGGATTCTAGTCTGATTCAGACTAGAATCCAATTCACTCACTGAAAGTTGTGTGGCTCTGCAGGGCTAGCTGGAGTAAAACAGTAGTTTGTTAGACTAGAACAATCTAGTCAGCAAAGTAAGCAGATAGGACTTACAATATACAAGTGGTTTTTAAAAAATATACTAATTTACTGGCTAAAACTACACATTCAAGGCCATATTTAAAAACCAGAGATTTACCATGGAAAGACCCTGCTGTTCTGTTATTAACTTTTCAGAATTAAAATTGAAGCCAGACACTGATCAAAGTCCATTTTAATAACTTCTTTATCTGTAAATCAATAGTTCAACTACTTATATAAATTAGCTTGTTTCCATGTTAACCACTCCTACCTTTTGGTATATAGTGAATGTAATTAACTCAGTGACAGTATTTAGTTAAGAACAGAAGATGGAAAACAATCATACGGCAGAGTTATTACTGCAATATACACCATCTGTCACTTTGCATTTCCTTTTTGGATGTCATAAGCCATTAGTACATAATGACCCCTCTGAAGTTATATCTGTAGTTCCAAAGGCCCAATAGTGGAAGCGTCAAGTCACTGCACACAGATAAAATTAGCTTAGAGACAGATTGTGCCATTTTTAAATTCTCTCTCAATTGACTGCAAGTAGAAATAAGAAATTACAAATTGGGTAGGAATGTTTCAACTTCAAATGCTATATTTTTGTCTGTTGTAGCTATGTCTGTGTACCAGGGCAGGGGGAGGGAGGGGAGAATTACCCTGTACCATTTATGGACTTGACACATGGTACTTTCCCCTCAGAGCAAGGGGGCATCTGGAAGGCAGATTGTCACTCTCTGGATTGTGATCTGTCTTTGGGCTTGCTCCAGGGGCAGCACAACAAATGCATTGCCCCTTGCTCGGGGGTAGGTTAGTTGCAGAACTCTCAGAATAGGATACATGTTTATTAGGGACATTAAATGAGTTTTAAATGGTCAAATTCTAGATCAAAAAGGGTCAAAATGTTGTATGCACAATGGGGCACCCCTCTGACTTCAATTTAGCCCTAGAGAATAGATCTGTGGGACGAGATCCTTGATCTGAACACCTACATTAATTTTTCCATGGTGCACAGTGGAGAACAAAACTGTAAAAACTCTGTGGTGTCATGCAGAAGATAGTGGCAGTGCACTGCAGGAACTATGCATTGCTGACAACAGGTGTCAGCAGTGGGTATAATTGAACCCAACCTCAAGTACAGATCCAGGACAAACTGTGCTCAGAACAGTTTCAGAGAATGTGCTTCAAAGCTATCGGGAGTTGAGCATATTTTATTCCTAACAGCTCAGAGTATGTGTTAACCAAGCTTTGTCCCAGGCTATGCCTGATTTTGAACCAGTTCAAATGCATCCGTTGCTAGCAGCAATGATCAGCAATAGGCAGTTTTTGTGGTATAGACATAGGTTATAGAAGTTATTCTCACCACTGTGTAGCCACCTCTCAAGGGGTCTGGCCAGTGCAGTTCTTCCCCCTGCACCTAAATGACATTATTTTCATTAAGAAGAACAGGAGGACTTGTGGCACCTTAGAGACTAACAAATTTAAAAACAGACTCCAGCGAGAAACTGCTGAGCTAGAATTGATATGCAAACTAGACA